AAAAGAAGAAAAAAAATCCAGCATTTGAGAACTCAGTTTTATTATGTCATACAGCTGTAGTTATAAGATCTCTCCAACGTCACCTCCAACTAAACAGGGCTAAGGGCTCCCAACACACCCCCTGCTTGCTTCTATTTAGCATGTTAAGGGGAAATCTCTTGTCTTTCCCATTCCAGCTAGCCTGGAGCCAGTTGAGAGCAATGATGTATTCCTTTTTATAGCCCCAGTCCCTAGTATAGTCAAGGCATATAGAAGGCCAAAAAAAAAAAAAAAGGTTATAGAACTGCCCTGATGGTAATTTACTATAAGTAAAAGGAAGGACTGAATTTGTGCATAAAATCTAAATAGTACACAGGGGTGGTAGCTAATAGAAAAAGGTGTGTCAGTAAGAAAGTCTTCCAGAAGGGAGAAGTAATTTTTCTATTACACTATGTTTGCATACCTGTGCAAGGGCAAAGTTCAAAATTATTTTGAATGTTTCACAATGCCTAGCACAGCAATTAAAATGTTGTGGATGCTCAATCAGAATTATTTTTAAATTTTTTAAAAGAATCAACAATAATAGCTTAGTTTCTTTGACCACTCTTATTTTATCATAAAATATTTAAGCATTAAGATAGAGCTCCAGGTTCATAAAATAATCTGAGACTTTTCCCTGTTCACAAATATTCTTTTTATATAGAGAAAAATACATTAAGATGTGATGCTATCAAATTCTTATTCTAGAATTCACTAGAGAAAAATAAAATTAAGATTTCCCTTAAATCTGGTTTAAAAGAAAGGCAGAATAGTTGGGTCATAGATTATTCTAGTCAGTTAAACAGTCTTTCTGAAAATATAAAACCAAAAATATATTTTGATCACAAAGATGTATCTTTTCCTCAGTGATTAATTGCTTTAATTTTAGTGGTTACTTTAAGTCATCATGATTTCTGTTCATACACTTTCAATCATTTTGTGGATTCTCCTAAGGTCAACTAATTTCTCAATGAGTCATATTTTGTATTATAAATTATAATCTGTTCACCTAGTGCAGGGGTCAGCAAACTGCTGTAAAGAGTCAGATAAGTAATTATTTTAGGCTTTGCAAGCCACTTTGTCATAACTATTCAGCTCCACTGTTAGAGAGAAAAAGTAGCCATAGACAATACATAAACAAATGAGCATGGTCATTTTTCAATAAAATAACAGAAAAGGCAGTGGGTCAAATTTGGCCCATGGCTATAATTTGCCAACTCCTACTTTAGAACATTATTTTAAATTTTATTATGAAAATTTTCAAATATACAGAAAAACAAAGAGAAAACCATATACTATCATTTAGATTTGGCAATTAACATTTTACTGTATTTACTTTATCTATGTTACTGCTAAATTACCATAAAGAAAATTTCTGTCACCAGTTTTGCCTCTGCATAATTTAGCATGTATCTCTAAAAATAAAGACATATTGCTACATAGCCGAATAAAATTTATAATAATTCCCCAACAGTCTATATTTAAATTTCACCAAATATCTCCAAAATCATTTCTATAGCTGTTTGGTTCAAATCAGGAATCCAATTAAGGATCAGACATTATAACATTATATTTGGTTGTTAGATATTAAAAGGAAAGTATCCTTTAATCTAAAGCAGCAGGCTCCCTCCCCCATACTTTCTTGTGACTCACTGAGAAATAGCCTGATTTTAAACAATGTGAATAAGATCTGGAATCGATACTTCTCATAGGAACATTAATATAGAGACAAACACAAATATTTTTGTTTATATTATCCTCAACATATTTACCTCAATTTTTCTATTTTTAAGATTTATTTTCATCTTTCACCTATTTTTTTAAACAACTTGTAGAGCTGATTGGGGTAATTTGACACATATATGAAAGCAGAGTTTCACATAAAAGCTTATTTCACCAGGTTCTCTGAAATACATGAATCCATGCTATGTATATGAAGCAGGTAGAATGGTCAGGTACTTTAATTAGGCCAAAGAAATTCTAGATGAGGGGGCACTTGGGTGGCTCAGTCGGTTAAGCTTCTGCCTTCAGCTCAGGTGAGGATCTCAGGGTCTTGGGATGGAGCCCCACATCAGGCTCGCTACTCAGTGGGGAGTCTGCTTCTCCCTCTGCCTGCTGCTCCCCCTGCTCGTGCTCTCTCACTCTTGCTCTCTCTCTCAAATAAATAAAATCTTTTTTTCCTTTTTTTATAAATAAATAAAATCTTAAAAAAAAGTAAAATCTAGATCGGTAGAATCCATCACATTTAGTGAAAGATGCTGATTATTTTGTGTTGTAAGAAGGTGTTACAGTATCACACGCTGTGAACATAGAAGTGTAGGCTCTGGAGATGACATTCTGGAGTTTGCAAGTACCTTATAAGAGAGAGGAGAATCCCTTCCCAGGAGAGTTTTGATCACTGTGAGAAAATCTCTTGTTTATCAGGGAAATTCCAAACAGAAAAATCACCCCAATTTTCATAAAATGTCTATGAAATGAGAACTGTTGTTATGTACATGGAGGTCCACACACCAACCGATGTTCAGATAGAAACAGGGTCCAAGAAGCCGACTCGTGCCGCACAGTTACGTGACAGTGTGATATGAAATGACAGGTAACGTGGCTGGAAGAAATAATTGAGAAGATGTGAATGTGCGTATGAGAGGAGTTTGTGTTGTTTTAAAGTATCTTAACTCATTGGCATTAGGAAATAGGATCAGGAAGGAGTCAGGAAGAGGGAGTGGGCCAACTCACATAACAAGAGCACATAAAGGAAAGGGAATCAAAAGATATTGACTGGAAATTCTGAAAGATAGAGGTCCCTCCGTTGAGAAAAGGAATAGAGTAAATTTAATTAAAGGGAGTTGAATTTATAAAGAACAAAAGGAATGAAGGCTGAGAACAAGATAGAAGATAATAAAAGCAAGGTTGTTCTAACCACTCTGCACTGTGCCGATATGTTAACCACTGGCCACATGTGGTTGTTTAAACTTAAATGCCCTAAAATTAAATGAACTTAAAAATTCAGCTCCTCAGTCATATTAAGCCACGTGTCAAATGCTCCGTAGCCACAAATGGTTAGTGGCTACCATACTGGATAGCACAGATAGAGAACATTTCCACGTTTCAGGAAGATCTATTGGACAACGCTGTTCTAAGGAGATTAAAATGGTAGGAAAGAAAAAGGCAGGGAAAGAAGTGAAGGAGAAGGAATGATGATTCATAAACTTCCTTTCCCCCTTGTGCTTACTGTCACTAGTCCTCATGTGACAGTTAAGATAGGCACTGCTTTACTATATTAAGGTTCTGCCACACCTCCTCTCCAGAGAGGCGCTGGAGAGATCACATCTGACAAATGCTCTAGGTGGTTGGGACTTTTGGAGCAGGGCACTGAGTTAGGGGTGGAGCCAGGGTTGGGATGGGGAAGGACCATTCAATGGATGAAGAGGGCTTGTGCACAACCTAGCACCATGCCCAGAACTCAAGGTAGATAAAACATTCACTTGCCACTGGAAAAGCTGCAAGAGTAGATTCTTTCATCTCTGGTGCTCAGTGAGTCTTCAGTCATTCACACTCATACAATCCTACTACTAATAAATTGCTCAGACTAAGTCATAGGTCGATACTTACATTCTATCTTACTCCACTAAGAGAAATTTGGCCTGACCATCTAACCTTTTATTTCATTAATTCATACCAACCAGTTCTTATCATAAGCATTCTTAGTCACTGAAACTATATATATAGGCATCGTAGCTCCTTCTCCCTAAGCTCCATGAAGAAGAGCATGAAATTGCAAACCACTGTTGAGTAACCTTCTTTTCCACACATCTGTCGTGAAATGACAATTTTGTAGAGCCTCTGACCCTCAGACACATCTTCCTTTTGTGGGACGTGGTTAGGATCTTTTTGACCACAATTCACGTCTTATCAGATGGCTCTCTTGTTCCACACTGCCATTTCAAGACTTCCCGCCACTCACAGTATTTACACTGGATGTAGCCAGATGAAGAGAGGATAACCCAAAACACTTTCAAATGCTGCCTTGTGAGAGTCACTCTTTTCGTAATCTCCGGGCTGCATCCAGTCTCCCATTTGCATGTGTGTGGGCAGCCATTTCTTCAGTGCATTGCCCATGTTCTAATTGGCTCACTATCAGATTCTTGGCTCTGTGCTTGGGACTCGTCATTGACTTTTCACCCACCTCACCTGCAGAGCAGCTTTCCATGTTCCCATTAGCATTTCAGACACCGATCTTCATTTGTAAAGTGATCAACAAGATTTTAATTGGTGGCTCCGATTTTTACTTTTAATCTGGCTTAGAGATACTTTAAATTTTGTTTTACTACATTTGAAAAGGGCAGAATCTTAAAGAGAGAAAAATAACTGGGGAGAGAAGATACTCAGAGAAAAAAATAGAGGCTTCCTTGGACTCAGGCTGTCCATTTAAAGGAACTGTGACTTACGCAGGGGACCTTATCATTGTAAGTAGCATAGTTCTGCTTGTTTGAATTAATACTTTTTAAAAAAATCCTCACTCTTAACATCAGTAAATTTTCTGTTTCTTTGATAACAGCTTAGAAAATAACTGAATATTTCATAACATCCCCTGAAATGGACAGTTTATGATTTTTGATTTTGATCTGAGTGTCTGGCTATAAATATGAACTGGATAATCCTCTTTGAATAATATCAGCATCCAAACTACACTTTTTAAGAGAGAAGAAGCGTAACACCCTGTAAATAGAGCATAGGGGGCAAAGCCCCTTCAATTGTACGACTCTCCATACCTCTGATCATTTTAAATTCCTGACACCGAAAACCTTCATTAAAGGAGTGAACCTTCCAGCCCCACAGAGAGCTGCCTTTCAGCTGGAAGAAGGGTGTGTCCCTGAGCTTTTACCTGGGAGCAATGATGATCTTGTCAAGCATTTCAGTGAGACCAGCCCAAGTTTTTAGGGTGGGGATCTAGACAGGTTATACGTAGCTTCGTAGCTTCGGTTCTTCTCCCAGAGAAGGCAGAAACACCTCAAAGCCTGCATGTAAGAACATCTACTGAGAAATTATTTTAATCAGACACCAGCTGACTGGGGGAAAGAAAAAGAACAGAGAAGAACAAACAAAACTCCCTCGGTCTTGGATGTAGGAGAACCCAGCTGCAATGGACTGGCACTCTTTTAAAACTGCTGCAGGGCTGTTCATTTTTCTGGTAAGTGGATTCTGTTCAAAACCCTCTAACCATGCTTATTGGAAACAAGGGAGAACTTTTTAGAAAGTGTTATTTAGTGTTATTTCTAACCTAAACCCATTAAAAGTTTATGTTAATGACAAGGTGATTTTATGAACTAGATTTTTAAATAGGGTTTCTCTCTTTAATTGAAGACTCAAGCATATTAACGCATCAGAGTTAACTCGTCATATCACATCTCTGACACTGAAGTCAGTGCTAAGTCATGCTGGGAAAATACTGAATTTGGGAAAGTCTTATCACCACTTGCTAGAGTTTTGTTGTTCAAATTCTTTTTTGTAGGTGGGCTCTTAAGCTAATATCACAGGTGTGTCCTGATCTTTACCTTAAACATTTTTCCATTCTTTAGGTATCTTTGCTGGCAGATATACTGTAATTTTAAAACACAAAAACAGGATACATATAAATTTAAACCATAGTGATGTGTGACTGGCCTCACAATCCAAATAAACTCATCAGTTCCATATGTGGTTGGGATCCTTATCACTAATATCAAAAGCTCCACACTGCTAAACTATGATTTTATTTAAAACATTTTTTTAATCTCAAAAAACATGGTGGTACAGGAGATTTATAAGTGATATAATAAGTGAAGGAATAGCTATAATTAAGGTGTAAGTATAATTATGATGATACTGGTTCTTACTACTGGAAAGTCAGTAATGACTGTGATATAAAAGTTGTATATTTGATGTTTAGACAAATGTAATGCGATGCTTTATCACTGTCTCCCTTACACATTATTAATTTTCTCTTTTTAGAGATAACTAAGGTGCTGCATCAAATTTCACATAGGTTGGAAATTTTGAAATCATAGTCTTTCTCACAGTAAAGTTAATGTAATCTCAAGAGGCAAGTGCCAGGTAAATCGCCCTCCAGTTTGGCAGGATGTAGTGCTGTGGTTCATATTTGTTTCTTCTTTCTTTTTCTTAAGATTTTATTTATTTATTTGACAGAGACACAGCAAGAGAGGGAACACAAGCAGGGGGGAGTGGGAAAGGGAGAAGCAGGCTTCCCACTGAGCAGGAGCCCCATGCGGGGCTCCATCCCAGGACCCTGGGATCATGACCTGAGCCAAAGGCAGATGCTTAACGACTGAGCCACCCAGGTGCCCCTCATATTTGTTTCTACTTGCTTAATTTTTGAACTGGATTGCTGGGTTTATATAATAACAAGTTAGACCTTTGATTCAATGTATGCTGGCTAGTTTGAATTCATTTTATTAAGTAAGAGAGGTTATACCAGTGGATTTGTTACAAATAAGCATCAATAAGCTGGTAGCTTTATTTCCAATATGGCTTCAAAGACCAGCCCTATATCATGGACATTTTAATGGATCTTTAGGATCAGTTATTATCATAATTTGGGATGTGGTAAGGAATAACAAGCAGTATACACTATGTTATTTAAATGTAGGAACATCTGTATATTGCAAGGTAATCAAATACTTTTATTTTTAATTTCATGTAAATCTGATCCATTAAGACCTATTATAGCTTCAGTTGATTAGAGTTTATTCAGATGCTTATGTGCTTTCATTAAATGTATAAAATACCTTATTTCTTTATTTTTATGATTATTCCTAATTAATTACATCCTATGAAATTCCTTTAAATAGTCACTGTCTAGTTAGTTATTCTTCATAAAATGTATCATTTTATCAAAATCATGTATCCTCATTGACCTTTCTTCTTTACAGAGAGGTTTCTGGACATTTGTGCTTTATTGTCTAAGTTTGGATAGTTTTGGTTTTTTGTTTGTGGATCCTTTGTTTGTTGCCATATTTTACTTTGGAATCAATCACAAGTTTCTCATTCCTCTGATGAAAATTATTTCCAAAGAACTTACTCTATAATGAATTAAAATGTTTCTTTTTCATATTATTGTAACTTTTTTTGTAAAACATTTTACTTTCTAAGGTTTGAAAAATCATCATTTATTTTTACTACGGATTTTACCAGATGATTTGGATAAATGTACTTTGGAGTTATACAATCTATTTTTGCTTTAAAATTATTTTTTTTCCCTGGGGTGCCTGGGTGGCTCAGTCAGTTAAGCATCTGCCTTTGACTTGGGTCATGATCTCAGGGTCCTCAGATAGAGTCCCGCAATGGGCTCCCTGCTCAGTGGGGAGTCTGCTTCTGTCTCTCTTTCTCTCTCTCTCTGCTCCTACCCCCTGCTCATGCTCTCATGCTCGCTCACTCTCTCTTTCTCTCTCCGTCTCAAATAAATAAACAGAATCTTTAAAAAAATAAAATAAAATATTTTTCCCTGAAAATTAACTACCACTATGGCAAGCTCTTCCGCTTACCTTTCTGCTAGCCTCACTATGAATGTTCGCTTTTACCAAAAGAAAAGGAAAGAAAATAAATCTATGTAAAGTCTTTATTCTTCTCTGCTCAAAGTCTATAATAAGTGAAAATCTACATTAAGGAGCACACTTGGACAATTTTAAAGACCTTTAAGACATTTAAACTGGTAATATCTTTCGTGCAAATCCATTTGAGAGCTGAGCAGCCAACTATTTACATGTATGTTGTATAGTCTGCTTAATATACCTGAAAGTTTTAGGCCGTGTTCAACTAGTGAGTTAGATCGGGGAGAATAAAGCAGAAGAATCTGCTCTTAAAACAAGCAAGATGGTCACAGGACTATTTCATTTTTAGACAAGGCTCCTAGAGAGACAAGGGCTTATACCTGTTATAACACTGCAAGCCAAAGAAATGTTATTGACCCCTCATTTATTTTCCTTTCTTTTCTGTCTCCATGAAATTAGTGTATTGGGGAGGGGGGATGTGGAATGTATTCTAGACCAGAGAACAATGTCACCTAGGTACTATACACAAGAAATTTCTGTGAATGGTTGTGACAGTGAGATAATGTACGGCCAGGCCACTGTAGGAAAGCAAACAGAAGCAGTAGAGTTTTTATAGTTCTAATGATTTCTGAAAATTACTTGCAACTTTGCCAGATTCAGTTAGTCAACACAAATCAATACAAATTCAAGGTGTCTTTTTCTTTATAGGCTAACTTCTGCAGCTTATCTTAAAAGAACAAGTAAACCTGTCTTTACTGATTTCCAAGAATAATCCAATTTGTACAGTTTATCATACCAGCTTAGCTTCTGCTCTTTCCATGGTTAATATTTCCTTTCAAAAGAAAACCTCTGACCACCTGATAAACCAGCTCCACAATTTGACTTAGCTGAAATAATTTAGGATAGAAGCAGGAGGTTTCAAAATATTTCTCAGCATTCAGACTAAAATACACAGAAAAAATACATACTTCATTACATAGTTCGCCAACTTACTTGAACCAGACATCTTAAGTTCCCATAATCAAGCTTCTTGATGCAAGAGAAGCAAGAGAAGAACTAAAAACTAGTACAGACCAAACAGAAGACTAGCAAGAGAGAGGATTCTTTATGCTTTCCTGTGCATATATTATAGTAATATATATTATAGATAATAGTAAGTCAGTAAAATATTTTATAGAAAATGGAACTATTTCTGTTCACCTGTTCCAGCAAAATTTACAACTTGTATTTAAGGAAAATCATTTTCATTTACATGTATTCTTAAAAGCTTTATTATTTCACTGAAGATTTAGGATCAGCATCTTCTTGCACCTTTGTGAAAACAGGGACTACAAATTTACCATCATTTAATTGGTTTGAGTTGCCACAGAGTAAAGCATTTTGCGATGCCTGATTTAGGTAATAGAAAAACTTAAACCACTGAGAAATGCTGTCTCGATAAATTTGAAGGCTTGGCCCCTAAGGGACAAGATTCACCTATTTAACAAGGCTTATGAGTGTAAAAAATAAAACACTCTTGTCTATACCCAGAGCCCTTAATTTCAGGTAAATCTTTCTCCATTATACATTCTTCAAGGACATTGGTGCCGAGTATCCCCATGTCCTAACAGGTATTGCCTAACGAATAAGCAGAAAGCATGCTCGGCTTTGCAGTTACTTATTATGGTTCTGTCAATGAGGGAACGCCCTACAGAGTGCTGGGACATGCCACTCTTGCTGGTTATGCTTGCCACACAAATTCCTTTAAAGGACTTAGGCAGGTCGAAGTAGTTTAAATGCCATTGGCCGCCGATCTATATTCTCTATTGGTCTATGAGAATAGGGTGCAGCCTTTTACACTTGTCTAATGAAAAGCCACATCTCCACAAATTAATGGCTGCTGGTTGCTCATAAAACTACTTGACTATAAGTTATTTGAGGGCAGATTCTGTGTCTGAATCACTTTTGTATCTTTCGTAGTGTCTTGCACCCGTGCAAGATTGCTCAATAGATGTTTAATCCCACAAAGTCGGGGCATCAGAAGGCAATTTGGGGATAGTTTATATTTCTCTTCCCCTACACGTTCCAAAAAATCATCAAGGAATTAAACATAGAAATAATCAGGTTGAATTTCCTTAACACTTATTTTTATGGTGTTTTATTATATTTACTTTACATTTCATCTAAGTTTACCATAGTATTTTTTAGAGCTTAAGCCCTTTAATCTGGTCTTTAATCCACATAATATACATTCAATACATATTTTTGTCAAATAAATAAATAAACCAATGAGCAAATAAGAAAAATCAATCTATCAAGGTACTGTCAACTCCAAACTGATAGTAATACAAAGACAAAAGAGGTTTTAAAAAGAAGCAAATTGTTATATTTTGGCTCTGTCTCAAGTTCATCCTTGTGATGTAAAATACACTTATCAAATACGTCAGCATTTGATGCTTAACAGCCAGCGAGTGGCTACGGAAAACCAACTCCCAATTATTATATACAAGAGGTTTTCCTCATTGAAATTACTTATTACTTTTAAGACCATTTTATTAATTGCAAAGAAATGTAAACCTCAGTATCAAAGGAAAAAAAACCTAAAAATGAATATAATTAGAGAATCATTGAAATTAGCATATGTCTTGTGACTTTTTAAGTTTTTTATGTGTGGATTGGCTCTTCAAATAGAAGTGAAGGACAGACTCACTGAGGATGGACTTCAAGTGAATTATATCCACTACTTTTTCAGAATTTTTGAATTAGAAAGGGCTTTAGTCTCATAAACAGCCGAGGAAATGGAGGCACAGAGGGACACACCCAGTAGGCAAGAGAGATGAGATATACTCAGCCTAATAATGCCTGTATTCATTTCTAAGTGAATCTCCATCACGAGCCTCCACAGTACATATTTTCAACTCATTTAGGAATCCAAACTGCTCCCCTGATTGACAGAAAATAACCTTATCTTTACAGACAGGGTCTTGATCAATCAAACGATGTCCTTCAACTACCTCTCATGGCCTATGGATTTTAATCTCCATCCTTCCTCTCTTCCTTTACCCTCTGTCTTCAGAGTCTTTTCTTCCTCCTTGTTCCCTTCTGCTCTCTCCATCACACTTCCACCAAATACTCTATTTTTGAACCTCTCTTTCTAATCAAAATCTCCTACTTTCTTCTTTCTTTGCCTTCACAAATCCATGTCTCCCTGTCCCAGAATATTTCTTTGTATGCCAGATCTCATTCTACCATTCCATCTTTGTTTCCTTTTATAATCAAATTTCCTGGAAAGGTGGCCATCTTTATGTCCTTTCCCCCTCCATTTTATTCACCAATCCCTTTCAGTCAGGAAGGACTCATTCCATGGAACTGAAGGGATTCTCCTGAAGGTCACAGGAAACCTCAGGATTCACTCTACTCAAGTATTTTATGTCATCTGACACTTGTTCCCATCCCATCTCTCTTTCAGTTCTCCCTTCCTTTGACATCTGTGATATTGCATTATATTGTCCTCCCATTTCTTTGGCTACTTCTCTTTTTCTTTGTTGCTTGTTTCTGTCATTGTTCTCTATTCTATCACTGTAGGAATCCCCCTAGTTTCATGCTCAGGCACAGGCTGTTTCTTTGTTGTATTCCCTACTTTAGGGTTTTCAAATTCTCCCATGATTTAAACTGTTCTACCTGAGCAGATGTCCCTCAAATCTGTGTATGAGGACTGAACTATTTGTTCATGGTGCTGAGACATATTTCAAATTGCTAAGTACCTTCACCTGGCTATTTCTGTAGCATCTCAGAGCCAATGTGTTCTAACCTGCTAAATCTCATCTCTTAGTTTGAAACTGCCATCACTTGAGATTCTTCCTTCTCTTGACTCCCATGTCCTACTTGTTCTCAAGCCACATCAATTTTAATTGTGTGGAATCTCTCCCTTGGTCTTCCTGGTCTGTTACCACTGCCACTGCTCCTCTTCTTCTCTGCCTTATCTCTGATCTGTTTTGATGTGGAACACTCCACTACTCGTGGCCTATAATTCTGCCTCTTTCCACAACCTGTGGTGAGAGTAATCATTTAAACCCACAGTTTTATCATGCCTTTTCCATGATCAAGTAACTTTGATATTTTCCTACTGCACACAGGGATTTGGTGTTAGAATTGGAAAGGTAGCTGTGTATAATTTAGTTTACCCCTGTCATTTTACAAATGAGAAAACTAAGGCTTGAGAATTTAGGAAGTACATTGAAAGCTTTCTGACTCTACCAAATACTCTTTTTATCTCATTATTTTGCCTTTGAAAGTCCAAGAGTGACTTTGTTTCACCATTTATTCTAGGCTCTGAACAAAAGACAATAAGGCTATGTCATCACAACATATTTTTAAGCAGACTTGGCAGTTTTTTAATTACTAATTCAATTGGGAGACTGACACTATGGTGAAACTTACTTGGTCTTCTGCCTAAATTGCCTCTCATGGGAAAAAGAATGACCCAGCTTCATAAAGTTGGAAGGTTTATTAGTCATCTGGCATAGTTCTCCAAAACAAACAGGAGGCTCTGACACTTCAGTGCAGAAGTGCAAGACAGTGCAAGTGCAAGACACTTAAGTGCAAGACAGATAACAGATGCCTACACAACTCTGGAGCTATGAAGAAATGGCTTCCAAAGAGACGAAGAAGTTATACCTACACCCCCATTCCACACCCACAAATGAGAGAGAATAGAGTGTTCATGACTTCATAGGTAGCAAGAAGTAACATTATCTTAATTCTGCACCTGAGAGGGACTCAACAATAACATTTCAGTTACTCATCCAAACCATTTGTTCCATCTACTTCTTTTCCTCACGGAATCCCTATTATTGTTATTGTTGTTGTTGTTGTTGTTATGAACATTATGAACATTCTTAATTGTAAGGCTAACACGAGATGAGATTAAAATCAGAATGGTTTGAATTCTCAAAGTTGTAATGTCAATTCTCTGCTGTATATTTTATTAGTAATTTAGTTGGAATAGGCTATCTTGCATTTCACTGTAAAACCCATACCGTAAGCACAAATTTAGGCTGAATTGTACTGGGTAATATTTAGCCAAAAATTAGTATTCCAAACTCAATTTCCTCATCTGTAAAATGGAGATAATGAAATTACAGTATTGACCACAGCTATTTGAAGACTGAATGCATGGATTTCTCTAAATACATTGTCTAGTAATTAGTCACTATTCAGTGAATTGTAACAGTGATAATAATAATAAACATTAAATATATACCGAGTATATAATTCCTATAAAAAATCTCTTTACAATACTCTTATTAACCAAAAAATACAAATTTTCCTGAATTATCAATTATAACAATTTTTGAAAAATATGTCCTTGAAAACCAAAATTTTATTTTTATCTATTGGTGAGATTAAAACTATAAAAAGTAACTTACTATATTTTGAAATTACTCTTATTAGTATTTTTAAAATGCAAGCTAAAATTTCTTCTATCAGTGACACAGAAGAAGTCTGTGATAATTTTCATACGTTGCAATTCTGAAAAAATTCAAATAGTTGAAAATGTTGTATTTAGGGATAAATAAAAACTAAGGATTTACACCTTCTTTAATGACTCCAAGTGCAAGTTAAAAATAAATGCAAATTAACCTTCACATCTACACCTAATTTTTTATTTTTTTATTTTTAAAGATTTTATTTATTTGACAGAGAGATACAGCGAGAGAGGGAACACAAGCAAGGGGAGTGGGAGAGGGAGAAGCAGGCTTCCCGCTGAACAGGGACCCCGATGCGGGGCTCGATCCCAGGACCCCGGGATCATGACCTGAACCAAAGGCAGACGCTTAACAACCGAGTCACTCAGGCACCCCTAAACCTAATTTTTTAGATAGGTATTTTACTCTGTCTTAAGTATATTGACATATTAAACTTGATATATAGATGTTTGTCTTCTTAGAAATGCCTTTGGGTTTTAGAGAAAAGTAATTTAAATTATCCTGATTTTTCACTACAAATCATATGTAAAGATTGAGGCCAAGTTGAAACAAGGCAGACCTCTGCTTGAGTAGCTCATTTGTTGGGCAAGGAAATTGTTTAACACTGGAGAAGAGACTAATGGAAGTTGCTTACCCACTAATTTGTCCCTACATGCCTACAATTTCTTCTCCTCACTATGGAACTATAGAAGGATGCATTTATATCTGCAGGAACTCATTTTTACAGAGGAAATTATTTGCTTTTATTTTAGAACTTTTTATTCTCATATTTCAAAGTAAATCTATCATCTTAAGATTTTCAAAAATACTGGAAAATCTTCCATTTAGAATTAGAATATGAAGGAGCAAATATTCTGAAACTTTTCAGATATTTTCTGTTTCATGCCCTTTCTTCACTCCAGAACACTTTTTTTTCTATTTCCATTGATGGCTAGTCAGATCCTGGAACTATAGTCAGAAGTTTAAGTATTATAACTTACTACTGAGTATCACTGAATAACATCAGAGTATCTCTAGCTCCTTAGGCACAAGACTTACAAAGAAAGTCTAAATTTCCAACCCTCACTCCCTCTGAGTTCAATATCCTAGTTCATATCATAACAAGTATCTGCATAGGCAAAGAATGAAAAAGAGGTTAAAAAATAAAAGTGATTAAAAAGAAGGGCATAACTGAAAAGTAAAGACAAAAAGAAAAGAAATCCATAGCATCATCATTAGACCTGAGAGAGAAGCCAGATCCATCTGCTATCCAGACTGATAGAATAATTCTAATTACTCACAAGATTTATTTAATTTTTTAAAATGATTGGATAACATGAATTATAAAGCACTTAATAAAAATTAACTTGTTATTATTTTGTTTTTTATAGGTGGTGGTGGAAGTTAACAGTGAATTTCGAATCCAGGTAATATAAAGCAAATCTATCTTTTCCAAATTAAAAACAAGGAAAATGGTTTGAGAGTAACAACACATTTTCCAAAGAAAATTCATCCTTATAAGTAAAAATATAATGTTATGCTAAAATTAATAGATTATCAAAATCACGTTTTCCCAATTAAACATCCTCTCTTTCTGATATTACAATTACCCTCTCCTCCAAAACCTTCAGTGGCATGTGAATTATGAATAAAAGTTAATAGATATCACTACTTTATTGTGCCCATTCAAGGTAAGAGATTACAACACCAAAAATGGCACCATCAAGTGGCATTCAATCAGGAGGCAAAAACGTGAATGGATCAAGTTCGCTGCAGCCTGTCGTGAAGGTGAAGACAATTCAAAGAGGAATCCAATCGCCAAAGTAAGTATCAACACCAAAGTGTAAAATCAAAAATCAGAATGGAGGGGCGCATGGGTGGCTCAGTTGTTAAGCATCTGCCTTCAGCTCAGGTCATGATCCCAGGGTCCTGGGATCAAGCCCCGCATCGGGCTCCTTGCTCAGCAGGGAGCCTGCTTCTCCCTCTCCCACTCCCCCTGCTTGTGTTCCCTCTCTCGCTGTCTCTCTCTCTCTCTGTCAAATAAATAAAATCTTAAAAAAAAAAACCCAGAATGGATGGTGTTAAATATCGAAAGAACCTGTCTCTTAAATATTTTATGAATATAACTCACTGAGAAGTTATGATACAAAACAGAACTATAGTCAGATTATGAAAACTGAAGCCATGAAAAGGATAAATTAAGAAATTTAGGCACTGGGGTAAACAGTTAAACATTGATGCACCTCATAGGTAAAATAAATACACATGATCATAATTTACCCCTAATTCTAGGTAGAAAAATATAGTGATTTAAATAATGAATTTAACAGCACACTCAGAGGGACTATTTTAATCTGTATTCTTTCTTCCTTGACCTACTAGAATTGAATTCCTACTTTTGGCTTTTTTTAATAAGAATTCACAATGTACCCTGTTTCATACTCTTTTCCTTTCATTTCCCTTTGTCTTCCTTTGTACAAACACACACACATATGCTCACAAGTACATCCCCACACACAGAGATATATATACATACATAGACACATACACAAATACACACACACATTCAGACAGATATACAGAGACTCCCCAGTTAGATTTGCTTAGAGTCATACAATATTTCATTTCAAAGAAAGAATCCCAGCTTCTATAAACCACTTATTTGGGGTAATTTCCTTACTTTTCTGATAATACATTCTCCCCATTTTCAGAATTAAGAGCTTCTACACAGAGTCAGATGACTCTTGCCAACTACATAAATCTACTTAAAATTTTCTTCTAAAACTTTACATTTTTAAGAATTTTTGGATCGGGAGATCAAAGTTATATAATGACAACACTGGTAAACTCCTTAAGAGGGCAAGGAGTTCCTTACTCTAGCACCAGGGCTAGTACAGAGCAGGAAAATAATATGATCAATTGTAAATGTTGAATGAATGAATAAATGAATTAATGAATGATGACTGCCTAGTCTTGGATTTATTAAAATGATATTTTTTTCTTATTTGGTAGAAATAGAAATTGAATTTCTTTTATTACATTGCTAGTTATTATGGAAAATGCTAGAGTTGTAACTAGAAAAATAACTATTTCCAGCATTTCCCAAAAGATAACAGGTACTTACATTTGACAGTTCTCGAGAAAGGTAGCTGTTGTTAATCACACCTAACACTTTTTATTTGCTCTCCGTAATATTTTCACCTGCGCTCTCTCTGCAGATTCACTCAGATTGTGCTGTAAACCAGCAAGTTACATACCGCATCTCTGGAGTAGGAATTGATCAGCCACCTTATGGAATCTTCATCATTAATCAAAAAACTGGTGAAATTAATATCACATCCATAGTTGATCGAGAGGTCACCCCGTTTTTCATTGTAAGTAGGCTCCACGTCAATATATATGTTCAAGCTTACATTATTTTTGGAATACCTTAAGTTCAGATCATATTTGATTTGATTTCAGAAATCCCAAAATTATTTTTGGTTGTCTCAATTCATGAGCATCTCATGACCCAACAGAAACGAAGAGATTAGGAGAAATGCGTTGCTGAAATGCCTTAGCAAAAACATTAGCCTCAGTCTGTCCCTGGTGGCAAGCTGGAATGTCTGTTTGGAAGGGCAAGGGCCTAACTCTTACTTCTTTTTCTTTAATTCACCTGAGAATATTGGTTCTCTTTAGCTCTCAAGTGACGATTTCTGAGCCACTAAGAGAGCCTCTTCTGAGTAAACATATTTTATTATAAATCTACATTGCTCCAGCTCACCTGAGCTCAGAATGTGCTTTGGAAATAGTCTAATCCATCCTTAACTGAATCATACCTCAATACTTGACAGCGACCATGATAAAACTTCAAACCTCATTTCCACTTTAAGCAGCTGACATGATGACCAACTTCGTTAAAAAGTTTGAGGCCTTCCATCACACACTCCCACAATTCTCTCTCCCCTGGTTCAGAAATGTTCTGCTGTAAATCCAAAAACAGAATTAATTTTCTGTTTTTTCCCACAGCTTACCCTCAAGAGGTATCCATTGTTCCATAATCACCCGTTTCTTCAAGAACCTTATTCTATCAACTTTGTTTTATCATCTGTTTTCTGCTTGCTCCTTGCCTGCTTCCATTTCCATTTATCATCATGGTCAACACTTGTTAATACTTAAAATACAAAGGAAATACAGAAAACCTTCCTTGATCTTGTAGGCTCTTCAGTTAAAACCCCATCCATCCATATCCCCAAACATGTTCAAATAGGAATGGATGCTTGTGCTTTCAGTCATACTGCCTAAGCTACTTTAATTCCTTAGTCTTCTATTCCCAATCTATATTCCTGCCTTACCTCTGACAATGTTTAACAGCAAACTCTTGAGGTCAGCATGCCAACCTATTAGCTTTTCTTGAAGCACAATGCATTTTTATATGAATATACTACACAGGTAAAACAGCATACATTATACTTATATACACTTCATATATAAATAATAATAATAATAACAATAATAATATGAACACCCACATAGTCATCACCTACCTTATGAATACTAGCTTCCTTTGAAGCCCCCATGTGACTCTCCTTTATCCCATCCTCAAAGTCAATAGCCCCTACCCATAATTTCAAACAATGCATTTTCATTACTCTGCTTCTTTCCTCACATAAATCCCTTTGCTTGGAACATCTTGCCAAATACCAGTTACACTTGCTGAAATTCTCTTTCAAGATCTTTCTCAATCATTACATCCTCCTGTGATGTCATACTATTTTTATTCTTTTAAATAACTTATCATGTTACTTTTTTTCAAATGGTATTTTGAGTTTGTGTTTGCCTCCCCTTATTGATTATAAGTACTGCTGCTACATACATTCTAGTAGGAAATAATATGTCTTACTTTTTTTGGTTACCCACAGTGCCTAGCATAGTGTCCAAACAAAGTAAGAACTTAATAAATATCTGGGCACCAAATAATTATTCTTATCTTCTCTCCTAGATCTATTGCAGGGCTCTGAATTCACTGGGTCAAGATTTAGAGAGGCCTCTTGAGCTCAGAGTCAGGGTTTTGGATATAAATGACAACCCTCCAGTATTTTCTATGTCTACTTTTGTAGGACAAATAGAAGAAAATTCTAATGCAAGTAAGTAATCCATCTTATTAAGTAAACAAGAATATACTGACTTCCAGATCATTCTTAGCCAAACAATGAGAGGCCAAACTAAGAAGGTACTACTTCAACATGAATGTAAGAGATTAAGTATAGAAAAGCATCCAGGACAGAAAGGCATGAAGAGTCTCCATACCGGCTTTCCCTTCAACTGTGGCGGCAGCTCTAATCTGGCGTACCCACGGAGAAACTCCAAAGAAATGAGAAAGGTTTTCCCATGTAACTCACACACCAGCTCTTTTTTAGATTCCTAAGGAGAAATCCCAGAATACTTTGTACAGTGGTGGCAGGAGTACTGGGAGGAGATTTAGCCTCCCAGCCAGGCTGCTCTGAAGGACAATCTCATCCACTTCTGTTTATACTGACTTTTTTTTTTATTATTCATTTTAGAGAGAGAGAGAAAGGGTGCAAAAGCGAGAGTGGCAGTGGGGGGGGAGGCAAAGAGAGAATTTTCAAGCAGACTCCCTACTGAGCATGGAACCCTTCATGTGGCTCTATCCCATGACCCATGAGATCATGACCTGAGCCAAAATAAAGAGCCAGACCCCCAACCAACTGAGCCACCCAGGCACCCCCCCACCCTTTTTTTAAACCTATTTTAAAGTCATTAGTAGAAATCACTTCCAGGTGATCTATTTTGTGACCATAATCTTCAAGAGCTTCTGTTGACAATAAATGAACACTAAACAAGCATTGTTTTCCCTTTTTATATATGATGAAATAAATACAGGCCTTGCTTGCTTTCTACTCAAGTTACCAATTTTAGGTATTTGGAATGTACTGTAAGCTTAATACTGTTTGGCCCACCATGCATATTGAAAGCTGATTGTCTCAAGTGGAGTTAGTTGAGAGGTACCAGAAAACCTAGAAACTAGATAGAGTATTTACCTATAAGAGTTTTGGCAACCTAAAGGTAAAATGTCCTCCTTGTGGATTACTGTAAATGGCAACATTTCAACTGCCAAATATTCAGTCACTTGAGAAAATTAACTGCCTAGCACACCAGTGAAGATTGTCCTAAATATATTAAAAATAGCAGAGACGATATCCCATTTGAATTCAAAACTTCAGCTTACCATAGTTACTTTTAACCTTTGAGTGGTATAATTTCTTATAAATTCCAAAAATCCTCACATTTTACTTTTATTCATTAAAATACTATACCTATATTTTGAATACGTATCCGTTCTTTTTTTTTTAAAGATTTTATTTATTTATTTGAGAGAGAGAATGAGATAGCGAGAGCATGAGGGGGGAAGGGTCAGAGGGAGAAGCAGACTCCCCACTGAGCAGGGAGCCCGATGCAGGACTCCAGGATCATGACCTGAGCCGAAGGCAGTAGCTTAACCAACTGAGCCACCCAGGCGCCCGAATAGGTATCCATTCTAAAATATCATTTTAAAAATGTTTGTTGTAAAAATTCACACAATATGGAAGGTAAAAATGGAATAGAAATCCATTCTTTGTTTTCCCTAGTACCATTCTTAAGAGGCAAACACCATCATTAGTTACTTAGATACATACGTTTATGATTATGTAAACATGCTTTTGGAAACAAATGGGAAGATATTTTATATACAAATCCATAATGTAAATTTTTATTTAAATATATTTTTAACATTTTTCTATATTAGGAAATGAAGATGTCTCCATTCCTTTTAATAGCTGCATTGGATTTTACTATATGAATGTACCATAATTAAATGCTTACTGAAAATATTTTTTTTTTAAAGATTTTATTTATTTATTAGAGAGAGAGAATGAGAGATAGAGAGCATGAGAGGGAAGAGGTCAGAGGGAGAAGCAGACTCCCTGCTGAGCAGGGAGCCCGATGTGGGACTCGATCCCGGGACTCCAGGATCATGACCTGAGCCGAAGGCAGTCGCTTAACCAACTGAGCCACCCAGGTGCCCTGAAAATATTTTTAAAAGAATGCTGAAATGAATTACACAAACACACACAGAGACTGAGAGAGAAAATGAGAGGGAGAAAGGAGTACTCTGCTGTATTTGTTTACAAACAGGACAACTGTGCTTGAAACAGACTTAAGTGTAGAGATTTCTAGTCTATGAACGCTGGCAGTTTTTCCTTCTTCAGTGTCCTTCATTGAAACAGCTTATAAGATTCACAGAAAAGATAAGGGATAAGACAAAGTATGTAGTTAAACAAGCACCTTTTTCAACCTAATAGTTACCTAGCACTTCACTAGGGACCATGCAAAACAGAACAATAATACACATTTATTGAGTATACATCAGTCAATCAGGACTTTATGATTTTCTCTCATTAAACTGGTCAAGTCTCTCATGAACTCAGTGAGAACAGTACTATTATCATCCCCATTTACAGATGTGAAAACTGAAGCCAAAATTATAGAGCTAGAAAGTTCTATAGTTGGGAAAGAGTTGGTCTGGCTTTAATATCATTTTATTTCACCACGGCAGCCTTAAAAAAAAAAAAGAATTATACTAGAATAAGAAAAGGAAAGGCAGAGTTAAAACATTTCTTTATTTTCTAACTATCAGTAATGTGTAAAGTTCCTGATAAAATGTGGTATTTCTGTCAAGACAAAGGAATAGAAAGGAGCTAAGCTAATGATATGTTGAAGAAGTAGAAAGGAGAAATGGTAGCGCATACATTATATGGACCAACCAACCCTAATACCTTGTTAGAAAAGCAATATACTATACTATAACGAAAATTCAAACTGTCCACTTACAACCAATTTTCCTTGATTTCTAGATACGCTGGTGATGAGACTCAATGCTACTGATGCAGATGAACCAAATAATTTGAACTCAAAAATAGCCTTCAAGATCATAAGACAGGAACCTTCTGATTCACCAATGTTTATTATCAACAGAAACACTGGAGAAATTCGAACAATGAATAATTTTCTAGACAGAGAGGTAATTTTCTTTTTCTTTGAATGGTTTGTTAGTTTCAAAGGAAGTGATTCTAAAAGCAAGAGTACCTAAGAAAGAAAGAAAAAGAAAACAATATGTTATAATTATATAACCTTTTCACATAATGGTAATGACATAAGAAATATCTTCAGAATGAAATAAATAGGGATTCCTCAAATACATTTTAAACTGTCATTTTTCATTCAATCCTACTTAATATTTGCCTTACTTTAAGAAAACTATATTCTGAAAGTACACAAGAATATACATAAAGCAGAAGCAGAAGCTCCTTTTAAAAAAAAAGTGTGATCTATATTGAAATAGATTTAAGAAACAATTGCTGTTATGTCCCCCATCTTGGCAAGTCATAATGCATGAACATGGTAGAAACTCCAAGAATTCTTACAGGCTAAGAAACTTGTTTCTCTTTCTTTAACCCAGAATACCCTAAGCTCATCTGACAACAGAACTCTTCTTTTTCCTTCCTATATCTCACTTACTGACAGTCCCCTGATTACTCTGGGAAATGCATCACAGAATCAAAATGATGGATAGCAACTGAGTAACATCTAGACCAATCTTTTCATTTACAAATAAGAAAATAATTAGTGATTATTAGCAAGTTAGAATCAGCATGGTTTCTATTAATAACATATGGTCCCATTATTTAATATAAAAGTATCAACTTTTTCATTTTAAAAATATTGATAGGATTTACCTGATCTATGTGTATTTTAGGGATATAAATGAAGAAGTTTTACTTTTGAATTTGTACTTAATTAAATTTTATTTTAATTACTACAGTTACTTTGAAATGACAATTCCCCTGTTAATGACTCCTAGGCTTAAAATAAGTCAGATTATTTTCACTCTTTAATGATCCAAATCCTATCAGTTCCTACGTTACCTATACCTCCTTTTGCACTTGTTTGAAAATAACCATCAGAAGAAATTGACTATTAACTTTTTCTCACTCAAACTTCCTTAAAAAGCCCATTGAGAGTCCTTTAATGTCAAAAGAGGTTTAGTGGTGAAGAGCTCTAAAAATTAAAGGAAGTAAAGTCACTAGCAAGCCACCAAAGCAGATATTTTTAACCTGGAGTTCATGGAGCAACCTCAAGATGTCTCTAAGTATGAATCCTCTAAAATTATATCCACCATTTTGAATGAGGATGTGTGCATTCATGTGTCTGGGAAAGGCTTCATTGCTTTTGCCAACTTCTAAAAATTTAAGCACCATTGAGTAGAATCAAGGAGATAGATTATCAGTAACTCCACTGCTTCAGCCCACTACCCCCACCTCCCAGAAATGTAAACCATTCATTATCTCTTTATTTTTCTTGCACATTCCATGGCTGATTATTTACGGTATGGAATTTTCATGTCATAAATACTTGGTACACCTTAATCTCTCTCCTCCTAAGCATTTTGGTCCACTTTACCCTTTATCAACTTTTTCAACCCCTGGACATATAATCAGGCATGAGGCCTTTAAATGTGTTCTTTCTTTTAAATGATGCTGGATAAACATTGCTGGAAATAGACGTGGCAACTGCCATATTGATTCAGGTGAGATCTGTGGATTTTCAATATTCTGTGTTACCCATATCTTGATCATAGATTTAAGTAAATGTTGAGCCAACATTTTAAAAGAACTTTGCAATAGACAGAATAAGGACTGTCTGGATCAACTGTGATATTTTTTTGTAATGTGTGCTTTTAGCAATATAGCCAGTATTCCCTTGCTGTGAGAGGCTCAGACCGAGATGGTGGAGCAGATGGTATGTCAGCAGAGTGTGAGTGCAACATTAAAATCCTTGACGTTAATGATAACATCCCATACATGGAAATGTCTTCCGTAAGTATTTGTCCTTGAAATTAATAACTTCAATTCATTACACTCTAAAATTTGTTTAAACAATTCTATTTACAGAGGTTCATGCTATCTTTAGTCACATACAACCCAAATGTAGACATGTACTGTGTCTTGTGTTTGTTTATATAATATGTAGGAAATATATATGTATTTGGACAATGAAACATGAGCCTATAAACACAGATCTCATTTCTAAATAATGAATGACTATCAACATTCTTTGTAAGTCCAGGATAGTTCTTCTCTCACTCACACAGTTAGTGTTAAGATTTGTTTGCTTCTCGTTTCAGTATTCCGTTAGTATTGAAGAAAATGCTCTACACTCAGATTTGCTCCAGATTAGAGTAATTGATTTGGATGAAGAGTACTCAGCTAACTGGATGGCAGTAATTTTCTTTATCTCCGGAAATGAGGGAGGTTGGTTTGACATAGAAATGAATGAAAGGACCAATGTGGGAATTTTAAAGGTTATTAAGGTATGGTATAATTGTCCTGAATATTTTGTTTTCTCGGTCTCTTTCAAAATGTTAACAATTCACAAAATTGAGGGGGTGAAAGAATAAAAATTACTATGTTTTAAAATGATATATGATTATAGAGTTTTTAAATAGTTTTTCTGCTTATTATCACTTTATGAAAACAGGCATTAAACTTGAAACTCTCTTCTATTAATACACTACTCCTTCACAGATCATATAAATTAAGAGCATTAAGAGCACTGAAAATGAACCTTATTTTATGCTTAAGGTTTTGTTTTAGATGTTTGAAGAATACTTTTTAAATTTTTTTTAAAGATTTTATTTATTTATTTATTTGAGAATGAGAGAGAGAGCATAAGATGGGGGAGCGGCAGAGGGAGATGCAGACTCTCTGCTGAGCAGGACTCGATCCCTGGACTCCAGGATCATGACCTGAGCTGAAGGCCGTCATTTAACCCACTGAGCCACCCAGGCGCCCCTGAAGAATATTTTTCAAGCAGATTAAAAAATGTGTCTTTGCCGACATTGTACATTAATTATTATGCACTGAGAATATTTCTCATGTAAATTAAAAGTTGTTTAGTCCTCTGGTGTGTTTTTATAAAATTAAAATTAAATTACTGTAATTATAGGATTATCACATTCCCATCTCCCTCTGGCTGCTGACCAGGACTTATTATGAACATAAATATACTAGAGATTTGGTCCAAATCAAAAGAATTCTCCTATATCTCCCCTATATTAATGATCCACCTCATGTACCAAAGGTAGAATTTCCTCTAAGATTTGAGGAGAAAAAAAAAAAATGTGACTCTTAGGGAGCTAATAGTGAAGGTTTCAGCCTGTGCTATAAGACTTGTGGATTCTTTATGGTAAAATATAGTCCTTTTTTTAACTATTTCCTTCCTTCAGAATAGTCCTGGGAAATAGACTTCTAAGGAATTCTGTTCCCAGTAGAATTTGTGATCATTTATCTCAGTTATTCAGAAAGTGTCCCCATGCCTATAGCTTCCATTTACTGAGGCAGAATGCAGATGTTTCATTTATTCCTCACAGCATCCCTGCAAATTAGGTTATATGCCTATACTGTAGATTAATACATTGAAGTTGAGAGAGAGTACATAATCCGTTCAAGTTCTGATAGCTAGTAAGTGGTACAACTGATGTTCAAATGTAGGTTTCTCTAGCTATTAAGTTCATATAGTCATCACTATCCTATCTATGATTCCATGCTGGGGAAACAGTCCTAATCTATTTCACCCCAAACTACTATATTACTTTATTTATTTTATTTTTTTTTTACTATGATATTACTTTAAAAAATTAGTCTATTTATCCTCAGTATCTCTATCGGTAAAATGGGAGTAATGTTGATTTTTCTCCCAAGCATGACATCATATATTAATTCCTTTGTTATGTGTGTGTCTGTGTGATGTATGTGTATACGTGACTTTATAGCCATTCTTGGAATTACAAATAAAGCCAACATTGGAGCCAAGATTGAAGATTTTACTAAGTGGAGAGTTTGATGTGTGAATCGAGAGTCATCTAAATTACTCTCTCATGTGAAAATTTAGAAAAATATATTTGGAACTTATGGGCAAAATGCATAATTGTTTGTGAATTTCATAAGTAGTAGATAGTGACACCAACTTTCATAATGAAAATGGCTACTTGAAATAACTTTTTTCCAGAATATGTTGAAGAAAATAAGGATTTTTATTATTTTATACAACTATTACTGGGCTTATTGAAAGAAGTCACATTTACAGAAGTAAAATTTCTACTAAATAGTTCTTTATGGGTAAAACCTGTCAAATGATTGAACCTACTATATATTCGGCCCATACTTTGTAATAAATAGAGCTACTTTGTGAGAAAAATGGAATGACAGAAGTTAACATAAACTGTGTTTGCACTACAAAATGTATGGATTTGAACATCTATATTAAGTTTTTTAATTTGTTTAATGGATAATTAAAACTCATGTCATATTTTCAACTTTTTTGACTAAGGATTTAGGGCAGTTGGATTTTTTTTTCTTACTATATTTTCATGCATTTATATTGCGTTAAAGATAAATAAAGAATAGAGAGTGTATTTGTATGTATTTAAATTAAATTAAAGAAAGAGATGTAAGAGTTTTCTTGCTTATTATCAAAGGATTTGTCTTTTTTCCAGAATGGTTGTTTTTTTTTTAGAGTAAGACTATTTCACTCTGTATTTTCTAGCCCCTAGATTATGAAGATATGAAGAATCTGCAACTTAGTCTCGGTGTCAGAAATCAAGCTGAATTTCACCATTCAATTATGTCTCAATATAAACTGACAGCAACCGCAATCACTGTGACGGTGTTAAATGTAATTGAAGGTTCGGTGTTCCGTCCAGGTTCAAAGACATATGTAGTAACTAGTAACATGGGACAGAATTATAAAGTGGGAGACTTTATAGCTACTGACTTGGACACAGGTGAAGCTTCAACAACTGTTAGGTAAGACTGTCATTTTCCAAATAATTTTTACCATATACAGAACTAAAGTATATATGTTCTTTTTAGAAATTTTAAGTATCTGAATTAAAATATTTTTCATATTTTTGAAACTATCATTCAATCATAAAAAATACTAACTACTTAATTGTTATTTAATTTGGAGCTTTGACCTTAAGAAAACATAAAACAGTTGTGCAAAAAGTAAAATGCAAAAAACGTGAAGATGTAAAATGTGGAAAATACTAGATCTTGAAAGTTTGACATTTCTGTATTTATGTATTTTATTGGCCAATTAGCTGATTACCACATATCATGGTTATTCCCCTAAAAGATTTTATGGACTGATTTTCCCATTGCAAATGTGCCCAGACTGAAATCAAATAGAATTAGTTAGCTCATTTCAGTTACTCTCTTCACTTTACTCAGCATTTAATATTGATAAACTCTCTTGTACTCCACAGATGTGAGTTCACGGAGGGCAGACCATCCCACTCTCCACCCCACCCCGCTCCTCTCGAAGTTCTAGTCTTTTGAGTTTAACAAATATGTAAATGAGAAGGAAATTCAAAAGAAGTCCTATAAAGTCATCGTATATATGGGGAGGGAGAGTGAAAATAGGGAGCGAATGTAGCCCCAAGCTAATGGAGAAGTAACTTCGTTGATAAGAGAACAGTTCAGAATTAGAAGCAGCCCAGGAGGTCCCAGGATCTGGGTCTTTCAGGAGAGTTCTGATGCTACCAAAACCAAATGAAAATGAGACTGCACGATTCAAAGATTATTCTGACATCCAAGTGGGCATAAGAGATCATTCCATCCGAAATGGCTGCCAGCAATTTATTTTTCTTAAATTTAAACCTTTTCTATTTCTGAATGTCCTCAAACAGAAGGCACCTGCCCTGAAAAAAAATAAGGTCCCTAGTAATTGACAATGATATCCAGAGGTTATAACCACTGACTTGAAACATGTGTTTTATAATCAAAATTTCTCTGTCTTTCTGTCTCTTTTAGAAAGCTAACATTAATTCATACTGTTTCTTCAAATACAGATATGTAATGGGAAAAAATCCAGCTAACCTACTCAATGTTGACTCAAAAACAGGCATAATTACTTTGAGAAATAGAGTTACCATGGAACAATACAACATGCTTAGGGGAAAATACCAAGGAACAATTTTATCTATAGATGGTAAGAAATCAATTTAACTTTTTCCCTGTCTAAAGGAAATTATATATACACTCGGAAATTAAAGTTTTTATTTGTTGTATTTTGAGATAACCCTTTCCCAACAACAACAAAAAAAACATAGAATCAAATTTTAAATAATATGAGAGACAGTATAACTCAGTGACCAAGTCCATGAGCTCTGGAGCAAGACTGGATTGGTATCTTGTACCATCACTTAGTAGCTACGGGATTTTAGAGAAATCATTTAACCCATTTATTCCTCAGCCTTTTCTTCTGTAAAATGAGACACTAACATTAGGGATTTAGAGATATTAAAGAAGTTATTACATGTAAAGCACTTAGAAGAGTGCTGGTATTCCATGTTAGTTCTTATTAATGTCAATAAATGAAATTTTTTAATAATATTCTTAAGTTACTTTCAAATAATTAGTCCAGAAGCGAAGTTAACTTAACTTTACATAATTTTTAGGAAGTTGATGTACAACTTTGTGTGAACAATTTGGAAGTAGCATGCTTATATTACTTTTCTAAACCAACAAAATTAAAATTAGGCTGGCCACCAAAGGGATGGGGAAATGGGGAGATGTTGGTCAAAAATACAAACTTCCAGTCACAAGACAATTAAGTTCTGGGGATCTAATGCAGAGCCTTGCCTTGTGATTATTAATGAAAGTGCTGTTGCTATATACTTAAAAGTCCCTAAGATAGTGGATCTTAAATTTTCTCATCACAAAAAAGAAATAGTAGTCATGTGAGGTGATGGAGATGTTAGCTAACACTATGGTGGAAATCTTACTGCAATATATAAGTATATCAAAATGACACACTGTGTTTATACAATGTTATATGTCATTTATAGTATCTCAATAAAATTGGAAGGGGAAGAGAGCAGGAAAAAAGTTTATCATGGAATTTTTAAAAATTGCTTCAGACACAACTACATATAAATAATTGTAAGTGGGCTACAGAAAAGGGTAATGTTCCATCAGCATCATTCCTACACTGTAGTAAGAATTATAATCACCAATGTCCAGCCAGAGTCTCAGAGTTATGACACATTTCTAACCTAATAGCTGCATAGTGGATGCTAGACTTTGGAAATCTTATCTCCAAAGGAGAAAAAAAAAAAAAATCACACCTTGAACTTTCAGTATTGTGGGTTTTCTGCACTGAGCAGTTCCTAATCAGAGATTATCATATAGTCAAATCCTATGGGAAGGAGATAGTGTAGATGTGATGAAGGAATCCCTGTCAAGGTAATTTAAGAGAGAATAAAGCAACTACTGCATATAAAATACAAATACAAGTAACTTCCATTCATTTAAATAGTATGTGGAATATGACTGACTTATTTATCTAAGGTGAATGACAGCACACACATGAGATGGCATTTACTGTTAATGCTTCTCAACATACGGGACGGTCTCAGGAGCACTAATCTTCATCATGGTTTGATTTAAAAACTGAGTCACAAACAAGGGATGATTTGGGAAGTTACTGAATTGATGAAAATAAAGACATTGAAATAAGTTACTGATGCAAAAAAAGTGGCTTTGAATTTTTCGATGAGTATTACATTGAATGCATTAACTATTTCTTCCCTTTTGAATCTTGTTGCAGATAATCTTCAAAGAACTTGTACTGGAACAATTAATATTGATCTTCAGGGTTCTGGCTGGGTTGACAAAGAAAAAGTTACTGATGATGACACCGGTCCTGGAAGCAGTGGGACTGTTAACGGAGGCAGTGAGAGTACTAGTGGAACTAGCACTGAAATGATGAACGGAGGTGATACCAGTGCTAACACAGGTGACAAAACTTCCACTGATTATGCCGTTGGGACCTCGATAACAGACCCCTATCAAGCATCAAGTCTCTCAGATAATGTCCATTTTGGTCCTGCCGGCATTGGACTGCTCATCATGGGATTTTTGGTCCTAGGACGTAAGTACTTTTAACAATTCTATTCATATGTGTCCCTCTTCCCCCGAAACTATGGGGAGAAGATAAGCTTTCTGATCCTTTGATAAAATGTACTTTACCAATCTTATTTTGTGTACTTATCAAGAAATGCCTGTTTGCTGTTGGGTCTATAAGATGAAAAAAATCAAACTGCTTGACCCCTTATAGTGCATTGGAGGATAAAAACTTCTTTGCATTCAATTTCAGTGCCATGGAAAGTGCCATAACAGGTTGGTTCGGATTGTTATTTGAGTGAAAAAGACAATCAGAGATGATCCAAACAATCAGAAACGGCTACATAGAGAAAGCAAACTTGCAGAATGTAACATAAAATACATGAGAAGAGATCATTCTCTAATTTCACTTTTTTAGCCATATTAATTATTAACCAACATTTTAAGACTTCAGAATTAAGTATTTTATAAAAGTAACTTAATTACCCAGGTGTTGATTATCTATACTGCAAGTAATATATGACTTTCACTTTGATCTTGTTCTTTATATTGTTGATTGCCTTTGGGTAGCGTAGTTAATAAAGATTTAAAAATTATATATTTGGGGTCAAATACCTCTAGATTCAAAGCTTTCTCTGAGCCTAGCAAACCTTCAAGAAAGCAAAATACACAGGATTCTTTTCCTCCTTTCTTTCCTTTTCCCCTCTCTTACCATCCCTCCCTTATGACTATCCTTACTATGTTCCTTCCTCTCTACCTCGCTTCTTGTTTCTTTCCTTCCTTCGTCATATTTTCTACTTACACATCCTTTCCTTCATCCGTCCGTTCATTCCAAATCATTTGCCAAGTTTATATTATATAAAAGGCTCTGTGCTAGAAACGTATTTAGGTGAATAAGAAAACCCAACTGATTAACAGAAAGACATTGTTAGGCAGTGTAATGTTCTCTATTTGTGCGGGAGTAATTTCAAGAAGAAAAATCCATGTAGAGGAAAACAAGAGAGGGAATAATCACCTGAAGCATGAGTAAGATTTTACTGCTGAAATTAAAAAGGCAGGCATGTGTGTAAGGAAAAAAGTAAAGGCATGGAGGAGTGAACACAAAGACTCATATTGCCTGTCCTCTGCAGCTCTCCTTTTTGTCTCCTTTAATGTTTTCCAGAGAAATGACAGTGAAAAGACTCATCTGTTTTAATGGTATAATACTATTTACCATTTGAATACCATATAACAAATTAAAATGGATTGCAGTCTAGTATACTGAAGCTCACATTGATTTTGGTATCTGGCCATTGTTCAGTTTGTTTTCTGAAACTTTCCTAAGAATTTTGAAGTCAAATGCAATGATATTAGGGTTTCAAATTTAATCATAAAAGAGCAAGTTGTTTTATTTTAATGTGGTTCCACCATTAATTCCAATATTCCTATCCTTTCACCAACAGTGGTCCCATTTCTGTTGATGTGCTGTGACTGTGGAGGTGCCCCAGGCGGGGGAGCTGGCTTTGAGCCTGTCCCCGAATGTTCAGATGGAGCAATTCACTCTTGGGCAGTGGAAGGCCCACAGCCGCCTCCCGGAGTAAGTGCTAACTTGTAAGAAATGGCCTTTGGTAGGCCCCGAAACTCAGCCTCATGCACATGAATCAAGATGCTGGCAATCACTCACAGTCTGCTATTCTTCGTTCTGGGATAGCCCATGGGGAAAATGAAGAGAAAGCAAAGGTGCATCCAAATAAGATGGAAGTAACCAGGAAAGGCTTTCTAAAATGAAGTGTGGGCTTTAAATGGATTTCAGAAGTTTTGTAAATAGTATTCTTTTAGAATCTGAGTCTATTTTGAGAACAAACCCACTGTATAAGGATAGACAGAAAAGAGCCACTACAAATGGGGACATGTCTCTTATCTTTTAGGATGTGACCACTGTCTGTGTACCACCCCTACCACCGGATAATGCAAATCTAATTGAATGCATTGACACCTCAGGTAAGAAGGTTCTGTTTCGTCTTTTTAATTTTAACAGCTCAAATGACTAGGAAGGAATTCTGCTCTATCTCTGCATACCTTACTATTTCTCAATTATCTTATCTTTAAAATTGTTTCTATCATTCATTTTTAAGTGACTAATTTGCAAATCAAATGGTAAGGGAAAAACCTCCAGGAATTACTATTCTTATATATTGAATTTTTAAAATCTTCCTCAATCATCAGAGAGTACTTAGGAGATGACTCTGCTAGGACCTCTATAAATAGGAGAGAAGAACCACAAGTCAATTCTGGTCCAGGTTTTCTGTCTAATAGAGCAAACATTATTTACCCAAAAAAATACAGTTGACCCTTGAACAGGACAAGTGTTAGGGATGCTGATTCCCGTCAATCAAAAACACAAGTATTAGGGGCGCCTGGGTGGCTCAGTCGGTTAAGCATCTGCCTTCAGCTCAGGTCATGATCCCAGGGTCCTGGGATCAAACCCTGCATCGGACTCCCTGCTCTGCGGGAAGTCTGCTTCTCCCTCTCCCACTCCCCCTGCTTGTGTTCCCTCTCTCGCTGTGTCTCTCCCTGTCAAATAAATAAAAATCTAAAAAAAACCTACAAGTATTAACTGTTGACTCCCCTGAAACTTAACTACTACTTAACTACCAGACACCTTACTGTTAACATAAACAGTCAGTTAACACACAGTTTGTATGTTACACATACATATTATATACTATGTTATTACAATAAAGTAAGTTGGAGAAAAGAAATTGTTATTAAGAAAATCATAAGGAAGAGAAAAACATTTCTATTACTGAACTGTATCCATAAAAAAAAAAAAAAATCTGCATTCAAACCCAGTCTGACTTTAGCTGCTATCATGACAAAAAAAATAAATTGCATCTATTCTCAGCATGAGCATAAAGTTGACCTGAAAAGATTTGTCCCATTTCTCAAATTGGAAGTAAGTGGATGAAACACTACCAGAATCTTTCCAAGTTCTTGGCTGAGGCCGTGTGCCAGGGGTAGAGTTTCTCCTTGCACAGGGTTAACCAAGACTCTAACGACAATATGCCTTAAAACAGGGGTCCAGACCAGTTCACAGGCAGAAACAAGGGAACAATTCGAATTTCACAAGGAGAGAGCTACTATGCTAATAAAAAAATTTCTTTTAAACTTTTCAGATCTTTGAAATCAGTTGCCTTTTCTCAGAGTAAAAAAGTTAGTGATTTTCTTCTTTCTCTCTCAGGCTTTTTCAAACTTGTCATTACTTTCTTACTTTGAACTCTTTAAAATAGGAGAGATGTAGGAATGCTTGTAGGACTACACCTTACTTAAAGCACTAGACACACTGGCTTCTAAACCTGTTTCTCTTCCGGATGTTTCCATTTGTGTTAATGACATCAACATCCTCTCACCTCAAAAGCAGCAGTCCCAGTTGACTCTTCTATCTCCCTATTCTTGACACCTAATCCGTTCTCAAGACTTGTCAAATCATCAAATCCGTCAGGATTTACTTATGCATTTATCCCCTCATTACATCTACCGGCCTTTACACAAATCTGGAACAAAGCACGAGCACCAGCAGAGTCCTAAAAGGATAGAGGGAAAAACACACTGTCCCTAAAAATCAAGATTTTTAAAATATTAAAGCCTTGGGGCACCTATCCCACTGTCAACACTTTTCCTATTCATGGTTCTTGCATAGTCTGAGCCATCATTTGGTCTAACTTGCCTCGAATATGGTAAGAGATTTCTAATCACCCATCACATCCAAGTGAAAACCCAAGAGTCTCTGTGCAAATCTTTTCCCCTCACCACAGCCATGGCTTCTCCTCCGAAAGCCAGTGGTTCTCGGGTCTTCTTCTGGATGTCCTATGCTTCTGTGCCTTGTGTTGGGGGGTATTCTTATACTATTTAACTTTGAGAATTTGAGTATTTCCCCCCAAACTCCCTCAATTTGAAATCAAACTCACTAAAGCATAGGTTTTTTATAACCCCTATGCAGGCCCCCCTTCCAGCATGACACATAATTAGCAACAAATAATTAACATCAAACAACTAACAAATTAACAAACTGCTTAATAATATTATTTCAAACTCAATATTGTATTTATAGCCTTGTATGGATTGTCTTTATTTTACTTCAGTGAAGAAACTGTACATTATAGAAAGTTATTCGTTTTTGGTCTACAATACACTATAGAAAGTAAACTTCATTTTATCAACACTTTTAGGGGTTTACACAAATGAGTATGGTGGCAGAGAAATGCAAGATCTGGGAGGAGGAGAAAGAACAACAGGATTTGAACTAACAGAAGGAGTTAAAACATCAGGAGTACCTGAGATATGTCAAGAATATTCTGGAACATTAAGAAGAAATTCTATGAGAGAATGCAGAGAAGGAGGTCTGAATATGAACTTCATGGAAAGCTACTTCTGTCAGGTAAGGTCTCGAGCACCATGCCTTCCTCACCATCCTGTGCTTCTGGCTCTACTCCAGCTGCCACCATTTCTCAACAGGGCTTTGGCAGAATCCCAAGCCTTTAGTCTATGGCTGACAATCATACTGCTGTTGGATAAAATTTCTTTAATTCTGAACTGATCACTTTACTCCTCTACTTAAAAACAGCCAATGGCTCCCAGCTCATTTGTCCAAGGCAATAAAGTCCAAACTCCTTAACATGACAATTAAGATTATTCATAAAATGACCCCTTCCCTCAACTTCAATTACTCCTTACCACCAACCCCACATACCAAGTGCCTTTGCCTCATTCACACCATGCCTTTGCCTATGCTGTTCCCCTCCCAGGACGCTTTTATCCATCATCTCTTTCATAAACTCTTATTCAACCTTTAAGACTCAATTCAAATATCACTGCCTCTCTGAAGCTTTTACTGGTAACCCTCACATCCAAAACAGAATTGATGTTTCTTTATCTGTATTTCTGTAGTGCTCTGTGTATAGACTTCATAGAATCTATCATTGCTAAACTGTGTTGATATGTCTACCATGGTTTTTAGTGCTTTGTCCATATGTTCTCTACATCATGTTGCCAGTACCTAGCTCAGTTCCAGGCACATAATAAACATTCAGTAAGTGTGGTTTCAAGAGCCATAGCACACTTCCAGAATATTCTAAGAACCAGCAAGAATTAATTTTGCCATCCTCAGGTAGAGACAGAATTGTCTGTGGCTACACACCATATGACTCTTAAGCCTTCAGGGATTTCTTATCTCTGAAACTGTTTCTGATAGATCTACGTCCTTCTACATCCTGGCCTAAAATACCTTCTTTAACTCTCTTATTGGTTTAGAGGGTGGCTCATATCTTGAAATAAAACAGTGATAAAAGCCTTTCAAATGGCAGTAGATAATAATAAGAAACCGGTTGCTGAATCCACAGGAATGCTTCCTATCCATGTCCCTACAAATGCATGTTATTTTCATGAAAAGTACAATTCTGCCTCAAAACTTTTGCACCCTGCAACTCCTTCTGCCCAGGACACTCTATGTGCTTTCTTCACCCCGCTGCTTTATTCTAACCTCTGACCGAACATCACTTTATGAGATGCTGCCCTTGGCCACTCTATCCCTTCACCCTGAGTTTACCACCTCCTGACAAATATGTTTGTATTGTCTGTCTCATCCTACTAAAAGGTAAGCCATATGAGAGAGAGACTTCATCTGCTTTTGTTCACTACTGCATTGCCAAGTTCCTCATAGAGTGTCTGGCAAATAGTAAGGACTCAAAAATATCTTTGAATGAAATGCCAAAATGACTTGGTTTGCTAATAAAGATATTTCTGATACTTAACCTGAAAGTTTACAATCCAGTACTATGAACGACATGTTTGGGGCCACCTGGCTGGCACAGTTGTTTGAGCGCCCAACTCTTGGTTTCAGCTCAGGTTCAGGGTTGTGAGATGGATCCCCACATTGGGCTCCGTGCTCAGCGGGGAATCTGCTTGAGATTCTCTCTCCCTGTCCCTCTGCCCCTCCTGCTCGTGCTCTCTCTCTGAAATAAATAAATAAATCCTAAAGAAAAAAAAAGTGCACATGTCTGTGGGTTTAACTTTGAATTGAAGGAGGTCCTATTTTTAAAAACTTCCAGTTCTGAATCTCAAAATGGCATAGACCCAGAGTCAAATATTCTGTTGTTTTCCTGAAAAAGCCACATTGAAATAATTCTTCACAGAACCACCAAATTCACTCTGTTGGTGGAAGGAAAGTGCAGTCCTGAATGAACCCAAATCAACTCTGAGCTACCTTTTTTATACAAGCAAGCAAACAAAAAAAAAGAAGAAGAAGAAGAAAAGAAAACCCCCCGCAATTTAGTGTACTTCATGTTCAGTACTTTTAAGTACCTCCTTCTAAATTGATTACAAAGTAATTCATGTGATTTTTTGCATGTGCTTTTGTATCCAAAGTGCACTATGATGAGGGAAGTCCATTTAAATAAATTTTAAAAGTCAAAATATATTAATAGGATTACAGTTAAAATAATTTCTAATCAAATTCTTTCAAGAAATTATATAATAGTTTTTAATGCATCTCTAGGAGAGGTTAGAATTGTCTTATATATCCCTCTTTGGTAATGCTCCAGAAGAAAAAAGAACGATAAAGAGTTCTATCATTGTTAAATATGTATCCATAATCTCATTTTCTCTTTTCCTCTACAAATCCAGAAAGCATATGCTTATGCAGATGAAGACGAAGGACGCCCGTCCAATGACTGTTTGCTCATATATGACATTGAAGGTGTAGGTTCCCCTGCTGGCTCGGTGGGTTGTTGTAGCTTCATTGGAGAAGACTTGGATGACAGCTTTTTGGACACACTGGGGCCTAAATTTAAGAAGTTGGCAGATATCAGCCTGGGAAAAGAAGTTGAACCATATCCAGACCCTGATCCCTCTTGGCCACCTGAGAGCACCGAACCGATTTGGTCTCAGCAGGGAACAGAGCCCATCACTGGTGGACACCCACCCATTCCCCCACATTTCGGCACCACCACAGTCATTTCTGAGAGTTCCTACCCCTCAGGACCTGGTGTACAGCAGTCCATGCCTATTCCTGATCCTCTGGGCTATGGTAATGTCACTGTGACCGAGTCTTACACCACCTCGGGCACTCTGAAGCCCTCTGTCCATGTTCATGATAATCGACACACATCAAACGTAGTGGTGACCGAGAGGGTGGTCGGCCCAATCTCCGGCACTGATTTGCATGGAATGTTAGAGATGCCTGACTTGAGAGATGGGTCAAACGTTATAGTGACAGAAAGGGTAATAGCACCAAGTTCAAGTCTACCCACCTCTTTGACCATGCCTGATCCTAGAGAGTCATCAAATGTGGTCGTGACAGAAAGAGTAATCCGACCAGCTTCTGGCATGATGGGCAATCTAAGTATACACCCTGAGCTATCAAATGCCCAAAATGTGATTGTGACAGAGAGGGTTGTTTCTGGCTCTGGCATAAGTGGAATTAGTGGCCCAGCTGGGATGAGCGGAGGCAGTGGCCTGGTTGGCAGTTCAGCTGGAGTAAGTGGTGGTGGCATTGGGCTGAGTAGCCTGGGAGGAGGTGGGGGCCTGAGTAGCAGCATGGGGGGCACAGCCACCATTGGCCACATGAGGAGCTCCTCTGACCATCATTTTAGCCAGACTCTTGGATCTGCCTCCCCTAGTACAGCCCGAAGTCGAATCACAAAGTACAGTACGGTACAATATACGAAGTAGCCAGGATCCCAGCACACTTGTTCTCAGTAGTGGTGATTTAGATTCAACTCCCACCACCAAAAAACTAACAATGTGATTTATGATGCACAACTCGGTGCTAAGTAACTGTGGAGTGAGGTGAGAAACCACAATGAGAAAAATAGATGGAAACAGTGCTGTTGGACAAGAGCTCTCCTTAGCATTTGTAAACTTCTTTCTTACATTAATACTAATGGAATCATGACAGTGAACTAAAACTTGAGACAGGATCTTCTTTGTGCCTGTATGGCCTGTAGGGTCTTCTTTGCTTCTGTGTGACCTATCTGGTATCTCCAGCATATGGAATGAATTAAACTCAGTCACGCAAAAGCACTGGTCTTAAGATGGCTATTGGCACAATTCTCCTCGCTCTGTTTTGATTTGCCATGTAGCTCAGGCAATATTCAAAAAGGACTAACCGCATAATATGAGCTCACGTGTGCAGGAAGACTTTGAAATATGTGCCAAGCACCTGGTCAATTTCACAGATAATAGAAATAAAAATCCAACCATATATTCAGACCATGATTAACCATTAAAGAAAACAAATCTGGCTACACAACCCAGTTCATAAGCCGCCAAGCACTCCTACCCTAATAATTGCACTAGGTAAAATAAACCTCAAATTAGGAAGTGTTTCCTGGGAGGAAATTTCCATAAGAGAATGGCAGTAGGGTGAAATTCATTTGGGGAAAATTGGCAATGTCTGAACCTGAATCTTAAGATGAGGCTTCAGCTAAAATTCCCATGGAGCCATGGAGTTTTCTGATTCTAGTTTGTGTTTAGTAGTAGATGCAGTGTTTATGAATATTGCATACTGGCGAGGGTGCAGGATATCACACTTACTTTTCTCCTTATCACTGTGGTTCTGACCTAATAGTGTAAACTTGCCAAGTGTACTTCTCTGACTGAAGCAAGTAACATCCAACATGGTTGTCATCCCTAATGGTAAATTACCTTCCAAGGAAACAGATGGAAACCACATTGTATTTTCAGATGTGTGTTTAGTAAGTGTTACTCATCTATATCCAGCTCTTTATTATACATCTCTTAAGTTAAAATAATTTACTTAAGCTGAGCTGTGAAAAAAAGCCTGCAGTATGGTTAAGCTTTGGGGGAATTTTTTTTAAGGGGATCTAAAAAAAGTTTTTAGAACATGTAAAATGTTTAATGGGAAAAGTTAGAATTGTTCTGTACAGTAATATCGTATTATTAGTTTTAATTGAGTTTAGTACTTTTTTAAACAACCCTCTGCTGCTATTTTAAAGGGGTCAACAAAAACTTTTAACAGAGTTGATGGTATTGTGTTAACACAAATGAAATTGCACTAGACAACCCCTATATCCTTACTCTATCTCACTCCCTAACTAAATTTTCTCACTAGAATAAATCTTGCATTCCTGATTTGACTTGTCCATAAGCTCTTGGCTTATATAATGCTCCAATTTATAGATAATTCCCAAATTATATAGTATGATATATTTTTCTAGCTTCAAAATTTAATAATGTATTATTTATGATATGTCATTTCTATGTGCTTGCTATATAGTATTACCTGGTTTAAAAAATCTCTAAATAGAATCAAAGCATTCTTAGATGGGGTAAATTTACTCTAGCAAAGTAGAGGAATTTTTTTTCTCTTTTCTAAATTCAGTGTTAATATGAACTCACTAAAGTGAAACTGGATATGACAAAATCTTTTAAGGATTATTCCCCGCCAATTACTCAAATTCCCCAGGGTGTGACAACATGAAAGAAGAGTCATTCAACTTCCAATACTTGTCAAAGGGGGCTAGGGAGTGAACTATTTTATTAGAGCTATTTTGCTCTATGTTATAGCAGATGATGTCATTATTTTCAAAGCCACAATATACATCTTATTTTATGTCTGTAGACTATGTGAAATTTTGATAGTCTGTAGCATGCCAAAATGCAGAGGTATAAATAAAGTCATTCACAGGGACTCTTTCATTTCTTTCCCATTTGGGGACGGGGGGTTCCATTAATGATGGATAATCTTTCCAGAAATAAAGTCAAAAGGTATTTATTGAAATATACTTGAGTATGCTGGACCCAGGAGTTTGAAGGAATAAAAGTAATTATTAGTTAATTAATTAAAGGGAATGGTATCTGACCACAAGTAGCTTATGTGTCACTTTGATTTATCATCAGAAGTGTTTGTTAAAGACTCCTGATATCTTCCAAAAAAGTTTTTTAGGTTTTCTAACAAAAGCTAGAGTGACCATCTTCAGTAACTCTTATTATTAAGATCCATTAGTAAAAAACCATGGAAGATATAAAAAGTGACAATATTAGTTGTCAATCCTTCTAGGAAGATACTTTCAAATAAATTTTTTGTCAGGATTAAACACTTATGTTCTAACTCTTTATTCTTAAATTTTAAAATTATCTTTTTAAGATACAATTCTAACAATCATTTAAAGGCTTGTCATTTTTTTCAATAAACAACCTTTGGGCAGAAATCAGTTCTTCTCTGTAGATCCTTTACTCCAACTCATGGACCTTAGGTCATTCTACAGACCTAAGATATGGAAATTATTTTATAAGTAAATAGTTATAATTCAAATCTATATTGCAAGCTGAATCTCAGATCAACATGCTCTTAACAAAAGGGAGAAGGAAGAAATAGTAATTTAAATGTTATGTGTATATAGTTTGAAAACACAGAGTTTAAAATTTATAAAACATCTGACTTTCTAAAGAGGTGGCCCTTAGGGTAAAAAATTAGTGTATCATAAATACTTTATAATTTAATATCAACCAAAATACCATCTTGAGCTAATTTTGACATTGAATTCCAGATATATGTGCTACATATTACTAGCCTCTATTTATATTGCCTGATGTAACTGTATGTGCACTAAAAATCTGCAGAAAAATTACCTATCTGGGGATATATATATAGGCCTTCATCTGGACATCTCTTCTACATTGGTGTATAGTTTTTAGCCTTATAATCTCCATTCAATGTAATTTCCTGACAGAATTTTAATTATATAACTTCAAAAATTACATATTCATTCTAACTGTATGTTTTTAGTTATATACACAATTCATTTCTGAATTTATACCAACATTTGAAGGTCAACCAGGGTGTAACACATATGATACCCTTTGGCTAGAGTAGGAACTAAAAGGTTTTATAATCATTGGCTAAAATAGCCAATTTAGGAAACCCAAAACGAACTTCTAAAAGTATTTGCTACATTTTCCCATGCCTATTTAATAAATTCCCATGCCTATTTAATAAATTCCAACTTTTGGTAGGATTTCCAGTATTTTTAAGACTTACTTCCCTTTGCACTGCAATACACCAGTCCACATAGATTACTAGTCCCCATGAAATAGAATCTGCCTCCCAGTTCTAGATTGTTCAATTTATGTTGGGACAAAAGCATGAATGGATCAACCAAATAACCATCAAAAAATTTTAAAACAAGGAATAATCTATTGTTTAGCTGTCTGTATTCTTTCCATTTAGTTATATCTGAATTACTGAACATTTTATCATCAAGCGGTACCTAGTTTAACTTATTTTTCTTTTGCTATTTTACAAGTATTTTTAAGCTCTAATATTCATCTTAGGTGATGTTTAAAACAAGGTGCTTTCTTTCAGGTTTCAATATAAAAGTTCTTGGCTTATTTGGGTGCTAGTTCCTTGCTTGGTCCTCTGTTGGCTATTTTAAGTCGGTTTGTAATTTCCAAAGGCTTGTGTTTACAGCAATAAAATGATTGGTATGCTTCCATTATCTTTTCTGAATGGTAAAGGTGGGGAGGTTTAGACTGTAAGGAATAATTAGAGTTGTTAAAACTTATTTTCATTTTCCATTTTCTAGCTCTTTTCTTTTTTTTTTCAGTGTTTACTGAGGAGGCTCCTCTCCAAGAGTACTTCCCAGCAGTGTCTGAGTGCAGGCATGAACAGCCCCACACTAACACATAAATGACAAATAGGATTTTAAACATCCATTGGATAGTTTTAGCATCTTTATGCTTTCATCTTTCTCTCTCTCATACTCTAATGTTGATTTTTGTTTAAACTAGCATTATATTTCTTTTAAAATGGATTTTCTTGGGGCACCTGGGTGGCTCAGTCGTTAAGCGTCTGCCTTCGGCTCAGGTCATGATCCCAGGATCCTGGGATTGAGCCCTGCATCGGGCTCCCTGCTCCGTGGAAAGCCTGCTTTTCCCTCTCCCACTCCCCCTGCTTGCGTTCCCTCGCTCGCTGTGTCTCTCTCTGTCAAATAAATAAATAATCTTTTTAAAAATAAAAACATTAAAATGGATTTTCTTCTTATTTGCCTTTCAAATCCCACCCTTTCATCTTTATTGGGCATACATCTCTTTTTTTGCTCTCCAATGCCACTTTCAGAACATGATCACCTTCGTCTTACACAAAACCTTACCTTTTTCAGACTCCTGTGATCTGCTTGTCTCCCTCTCTTCTGCTTGTGTCATTCCCTGACCTCCCAACAAGGTCCTCACTTTTACTGAAGACTCATAGTCAGGACCACAGTTTGCTGTGACCTTTACAACTCCAGAGAGCATTCACAGGAACTCAACTGACCCCATGGGCGAGGCAGCTGACACCTGGAATTCTCAGTTCTCTGACCTCCATTCTCCCTATCCCACCCCAGGAGGGCAGTCTTCTGGATGCCTGTTTCAGTCTTCCCAGCCTCTGACCACTTCCTCCTTCTCCTTCCAGCTCACTTGCTCATGGATTCTGATTGCACACCTCCTCTGCTTCATCGAAGTTTCCTTGTTTTGACTCCTCCCACTTTCCACTATCCACCACCCCGCCTTCCTCCATGTCTAGTCAAGCTTCATGAGTTCAAACACGTTGTCTCTTGGTGAATGCCATCGAACTGCTTGCCTGCTCTCCCCTTTCGTATCCCAACTCTTTCACCCTCCATCTTCTGTCGTCACACAAACAGCCAAACAAGTGATTCAAGGCAATTGATTTTTTGTTTTTCATTTTGAATACTCACTCTCAAATCTCAGATTAATATAAAATGTTTTCCCACAATCCTACCTACCTCTCCCATAGACCTCCCATCTCATTGTACTAGGTCACTATTCCATAGCTTCTCTGTCCTCAAAACTCCCACACCTCTTCTTTCCTCCTCACTCTTAGTTGATGACCTAATCTTATAGTTCATCAGACTTAAACATCCACCTGTACTTGTACTCTCTCCCTCCATCTTATTACAATGGAGTTAGTGTCCTATTTATATAAAAAGACAATCCCCTATTTGTGCTCAAGGACTTTATTCTTTCCCTAATAGTCCTTTTTTGAAACCATCTCTCTCTCTCTCTCTCTCTCTCTCTCTCCCTCTCCCTCTGTTTCTTTCAGAGCATGTTCATCAGCACCCCTCCCTGGAGCTACTGCTTCATTTTTTGTTTGTTTCATCAAACTTCTTAAGACTCATATACATGTGCCTTCTTTACTTTCCCATGTCCTATCAAACTTCAACCCATCCCATCAATCTGCCAGAATGGCCCTTGTCAAGTTTGTCTAAGACTTATAGATTGCCAAACACAAGATCCATGTTTCTGCCCTCATCTTTCTTAACTTCTGGGAAGAATCTGAAAAAAGTAACTATTCTCTCTTCCCTGTAACACTTTTCTTTCTTGGCTTTTATTCCATCTTTTCAAGATACAGCTTACATTTCATTGGCCACTCTTTCTCTTATTTTGTTTCTTTCCCATCTGCCCAATTATTAAATGGTGATGTTCCCCCTAAAGATGCCCTCTGCTCTTAACACTCTACACTGTCTCTATGACACCTCATCAAAGATTTAAATTAAATGTTTAAAATTAAACACTTGTACCCCCAAAACCCCCTAATAAATATGACTCCACCAATCCTTTGCTCAAGACAGAAACTAAGTACTCCTCCTTGATTTCATCCCTTCCCTCATATCCCCTGTCTTCATTTGATCCATTTATAAATGCTAATGACTTTGACTGATTCTATAACCAAAATATAGCTCAGGCCATCCAATAGCTTCCATGTCCATCTGCCATCATCCTACTAGAACTGTCTCTTAAGTAGTCTCTCTACTTCCATACTGGCCTTCTTCAAACAATTTTCTACAGATGAGCCTATGTAGCCTTCTAAAATGTAAATTAGATTAAGCCAATCCTCTATTTTAAGAATTTTAATGGATTTCCATTAGATTAAATTCAAATTTCATTATGAAGTGTCTTAAAAAAACTCAAGCATAATAAACACAAGTGTAGCATATTAAATTGGTCCAAAAGTTTGAAAATGAGCCAATTTCTGGGTATGTACTTAGTGACTGAGTTCAAATAAGACAAACTTTAGCTGACCCTTTTCCTAATTTTACAAACAAAACTTAATTATGAGAAACTTGGTATATCCCCGTCTGTGCCTATGTATTAGTAATCCCTCCTTATATAAAACCAAAGAAATCTATAGATTTAATGTAATCCCTATCAAAATACCAACAGTATTTTTCACAGAACTGGAACAAATAATCCTAAAATTTGTATGGAATCACAAAAGACCCCAAATAGCCAAAGCAATCTTGAGAAAGAAAAACAAAGCCAGAGGTATCACAATCCCAGATTTCAAGATATACTACAAAGCTTGAGTAATCAAACAGTATGGTACTGGCACAAAAACAAACACATAGATCAGGGGAACAGAGAGCCTAGAAATAAACCCACAATTATATGGTCAGTTAAACTTTGACAAGGGAGGCAAGAAAGTGGGAAAAAGACAGTCTTTTCAATATAAATGTTGGAAGAAAAACTGGACAGCTACACGCAAAAGAATGAGACTGGACCACTTTCTTACATCATACACAAAAATAAATTCAAAATGGATTAAAGACCTAAATGTGAGACCTAAAAACATTAAAAATCCCAGAAGAGAAGACAGGCAGTAATTTCTCTGACATTGGCCATAGCAACAT